ATATTTTCTAGAGAAATACGTGTCTTTGCCTCACATATACTAGGCAAGTACTTTACTACCAAAGCCTAGCCCTTGATTCTTTTTTGCAGTTCTTAAAACACATTGATCCTTTATGTGGATAACATTTGCTCATTAAATTTGGTGAGCAGGAAGCAGCGGTCAAAAACAGTGAAAGGCTGAGATATTTTTCCCACTTGCAGGCTACTTTCATAAATGTTGTCAGGAGACATTATAGTCTAAGTGAGGAACAATGACTTTATTAGTCACAGAAAAAGCAGGAGCTGGTCAATCAGAATGTTCATTGACATGGATTTCCCAGTTCCCAAGTTTCACACAGGCAATCCAAAGGGTCCATGATGAATGCCATATATTCAAGGTGGATCACATTATAGGAAAGGAACGCTGAGCTGGAGATTTGAATGTTTTTATAATACTATGCCTCAGCAGGAAGAGAACACATAATGCTTGGTAATAGCTCTCTGAAAAAAAAATCCTGAAAAATAGTCAAGGGTAAAGAGTCAAGGGCTTTGTCTTCTTGGCAAAACAGGCAAGAATGTGGAGGCCTGCCTACTCAGGGCCCATGGTGATCTGTGTCATCCAAAAGCAGTAATTGCTCTAGACAAATAATAAAACAAACATAAGCCAGATGGCAGGCAATAAACTGTGACAACAATCTGCAATATCAATAACAGTTTTAGAGCAGCAGTGATCTTGAAAATTTCCTCTAAAGAAAGAAGCAGCTGCTGTATTTTGTATCATTGGGATGAGCTCTTTAGATTTTGGAGGCAATTATTTCTGTACATCTCACCAATCCATCTGATAAGTCCTAGAGCTGATTTTTTGGTTGGGGCCCAGATTAAGCAAGGCCCCTGCAGCAGGTCCACATCACATACATAGCTCTGCTACTAAGTGTTCCATATGGCATAAAGTGGCTTATGTTTCCAATACAATCAGGGAATATCTCTGAAAAGTCTCCACAAAAGTAAAACAGTATGAAAATCTAGGTTTGGGAATAAGGTTCTGTTTTTCTCTGTGGTACAGTCTGCCATTAAAAAGCAGATCCTAGCATTTCTACTAGGTTATGGCAGATTCTAAATGTTTAATCATAGCACAAGTAACTATGTGATCCAAACTGCCAAATGCCAACTATATTACCCAATCTGGGATCTAAGCCTGGTCTGAGGGTCAAATGTGGTCCATTAACTTTTGTAAAGTTTTATTATTTTCAATTCACTATGCCAATTCACTTACATACTGTTTGTAACTGGTTACAATGGTAGAATATTTGTGACAGAAATCATATTGTCTATAGAATCTAAAATATTCTAGCTCTTTACAAAGAAGTTTGCTGACCTGGGATCTAAAGAACCATAAAACTGGATTTAACAATCAACACTCCACTATCAAACAGAACTGGCATATAGAAGCCCAAGGTTATATAGATCCTAAATATATAAACAAAAGAAGAGACTTAGGTTCTTATATACTTCCATGTTCTCCCACTTTGCTCTTCCTCTCAAATTGTAACAAGAGGAAGCTGAAGAAACTAAAAGTCTTGGTTTTGGATAGATCTGTGTGATTGATCAGATGTAAATGAAACTGCATTACAGCATACCCTTAGAGATGGGTAGAAAGCTTAGTGAAGATGTTAGATGGCATATATGGTAATCCAGCTCATAAGGAAGATATTACCAAGGTAAAGTTCCATGCTGATTCACAGGCAATAGATAATAGGCTGGCCAACTGATCTTTGGAGGAATCAAAATGGAAATTAGTGACAGGATGGTCTGAGGAAGAGAGGTATACAAAATGGCTTGTCAAAAATAGGTACCAGTTCAAATGTCATATCATGTAAATGTCTATCAGAGAACATCCATGGAAGCAGCTCAGCCATCAACTACAGAAGACAACCAGTCCTGTAGAATACATTTACTTGTTCACTTAGCTCATGTGGATTAACAATGGCAGCAAAGGTAGAGGCTCAAACGTAGTCCACCCTTACCATGGCTGATCTAACACATAGCTGAATGCCCAGCTTGCTACTGAAGCCATGCTAAACTCCCAACATAAATCCATGCATTCTCCAGTGGAATCTGCTAACTTACGGTATCTTGTTACTGCAAAACTTTTTCTGTCTGTCTAGCATAAAAATACTAAGTATATATTGTGCCTAACCCCATTTTCCGTTTTTATCAGAAGATCTATAATCAATGAAATAGGTGATGTTTTTCAAAATATGTCAAATATTCTTTGCTGTTCTCTCTTCAAGAGTGTAAGATTCATTTGCTTCCCTTGCATATGGAATGAAATTAATGGTTCACATAATATGGCAGCAGTGATGCAATGTTACTTCCAATTGGGTTTTAAAAACACTGATCTTAAATCCTTAGCTGCTTTTACTGCATTTCAGATTCTTTCTGAGGGGTGAGGGGAAAAGGAGGTGGGAATGAATACCTGAAAGACATGTTTCCTTAAAAATAAGACCTGACTGGAAAATAATCAGCCTTTCATACTAGAGATCAAAAATGTCAGTCCCAGTCTATACTTCCCTTACCTGCCATTACAGCTACCCACTGAGCCAGAGAATAGTCAGGTAAAATCTTCTGCATTCATTTCAGTGGCCATAACACTGAAAAACTGATTTCTAATTTTCTACGCTGAGGCTGCAACCCTAATAGCTGGACCTCAGTCTCATGAAGGCTCTTGAGCCAAAACCACCAGCTGTAAGACTTCTAAATGCCTGACCTTCAGATTTGTGAGATAACAACTACCTGTTGTTTTAAACCATGTTTGGTGTAATTAGTCAGAAGGCAATAGGTAAGTATCACATACAACACTGCCTACTGATCAGAAGAGTCATTTTATAGAAACAGACTCAGGGCCATAGAATATAAACACTCAGGAGCAGCTGCCTGGATATAAGTGAAAACAGCCTGCTATAGGGCCAGATGGCCCCAACTGCTTGCAAGTTTAAGTACTGTCTTCCTGCACACTACTGATCCTTTAAGCCAGTTTCTTTTCTCATGGCCAGAATGTGCGCTTCTAGGGGTGAGATGTAAGACTCTACTCTCAGTATTACACTGAATAACTCATTTCATTTACAGGATTTTCTATACTTACACTTTTCTTCAAAAACAGCATATGACTTTTCAGAAAAATTGTATCACAAATATCTGAATTTATATTAGACAGTAAAAAATCATTAATTTAAAAATTTTATAAAATATTTTAAATATGTAATTTATGAAAAAAGTTTTTAAAATGTGCCCCAAGATAAATGGTCTTTCCTTGTGTTTGCATTCGATTTTAAAGAGGTATGCAGAGTACTCCATTCCCATGCTGTGAAATGCAATTCAATAAAACCTAGATGTTTTTATTAGGAACAAAGAACTTTCTATTTATTTTAAATATCAAAATAACACAAGAAACTAATTCAATATACAAGACACTTCCTATTCTTCACAGATAAATGAATTTTTCTATAAAGACATTTATACTTAAACATGAGACAAACAAAAATGTATTAAAACTCACAAGGTACTTTGACACACAGTTGACAATAATGAATTTCGATATTTTAGATTTTCTTTGTAATTGCTTTTAAAGTGTTCTTAATCAAAAACAAAAATCATGATCTGAGACTAAAAGCAAGTACAAAAGCATTTCTACTTTAATGTACACCATAAACCCCTTTAATCGTAACTTTTACTACACAGCATGGAGCAGCTATATATCCAGCTTTGTATCTTTTGGCAGCCACACTCTTCCACTGTAATTATTTTAGAGGGATAAGAGTCTGATTGTTAGAAGGAATAAAAATATAATTACACCACAGTACACTGTCCAACTTTAATGCAAGCAGGAATATCAAGTAAAGAGGCTGATAATGATGAGATGTGTACATGCTCTTCAGAAATGTTTTAGAATCTCTAACAGTAATGCAAGCGCTGCAATTACTTTTTAAAAAATCTAATTTAAAAAAGAGGTTATGTTCATTATTGTATAAACCCTTAGTTTCTCTGTACTTAAGTGGCTGCAGAGAATTAATTTAAATTGTGGGATTCTTTCAAGAGTCATAGAGTTAAGATCAATACACAGCAAGTTGAAAACATGAAGAGTAAGCAAATCTAAGGACTCTACCAGAACTGTCTTTTTCTTATCTTTTATACAATCTAATTCTGTTGTTTCTATTTTATTAATGCTACAGCACAAAGCATGCTAATATTGTAAGGACAAAGTAGCTTAAGTAAAAATATTTTAGAGGAAACAAAGGAGGATCCCCAAAATAACACTAAAGACTATACTGAGAGAAATGTGTAAGAAAAAAAGAGTAGAATGCATAGAATTGTTGAGTTCCCAGAAACTGTTTAGAAAATTATTCTCAAACTCTCCATTATTTACTCTAACTGTGAGTAACGTATACCACACTACTACTTAAAGTTTTGGAAATGATACTTGATCTTATTAAAGAATACAGTTTCAGTCACTTTAAATTTGGCACTAAGTCTTAGACTATCTAAACTATGACTCTTAAAGGTTCTCAATTTTTCATAATTGATCAACTCAAGATATAAATCAGCTGCAACACTGTTGCTCCAAATGAGAAGCACAACTCAAATGAGCACCTCTTTTTCAATTGTAAGCAAACTGAAGAAAGTAGTGACCCCATGCAGAGCTGTATAATTACAGTAAATGGTTATTAAAGACAGAGACAGAAGGAGAGAGAGAGAGCCATACTATTTAATTTATTTGTCAGATCCTTCTAATAAACATCTAGAGACAGGCCCAATAGTGGCCTCATAGTAACTACAAAGGCCACAATAAAATTTTTTTAAAAAATGATATATAAATGATAAAACCTATTTTTTTCTAGTACTTAGTGCCAATTTTAATATGGAAACGAAGACCAACCTAAAAAAAAAAGTTATTGCCTAACCAGCAGGCAACACAAACATAAGACCCATAACAAACCAACCAACCAAACAAAACCCAAACCCAAACCAAGAACAAAACAAAATCATTTATTAACAAGTACAATCTAACTTCAAGTCTAACCAACTACAACACTTTGAAAAGGCACAAAGAAAGATGGCATTAAAGGACACTGTCAAAGAGCTAGAGCTCTAAATCTGACTTTTCATCAATAACATTGGAGTGATATGGTGGGAAGAAAATTCAACATGATAAACACCAATTTCATTGCTTTTTTGCCACTGCAGAATAAAGGCAATAAATGATATTTAATTACATATTAACCCTAACACTTTATAATTACTCATCAAAGATGTTTTGACACTTTTTAAAGTTGACAGAAAATTATTAAGGTACTAATTTCATGACCTACTATCGCTTTACTAAAGCACCAGTTTAAAACTTTTTTGTTTTTGCTACTCCTCTTTTCTCCACAATACATGTCAAGATTACTTAACAGTATGCAAAGATTACATTATAGTTGTTGGTTTTACCTTGCTGGCATGAGGAAGAAATTCTAACCTTAAATGGGATTTTAGGCTGTAAAAAATAGGTTAGGTTTCTTATAAAAATAACCTCAACTTGACCTAAAAAAATCCTAAGGCAAAAATTATTTTGATAATGTAGTGTGAAAAATAAGCTTATTGTTTAACATTTAATAGTGTTCACTAAAAACCATAACATTCAATTAAATCGAGGAAAACAGCATTCTTACTATAAATGGTTTGTCAGTCTATTCCCAGAGTATTTTCTTTTGCTCTTATTTTATACATACAAACAAACACAAACATTTAATACTTAATCTTAGTATTCAAACTAATGATTTTTAAAAAATCCATTATCCTAGGACTTCAACTGTGCTTCTTTGGACAAATATTTATTCAAACAACAAAGAATTTAAATTCTTTTAATGATTTATACCTACTAAAAATCTTTGGTGCATTTAAGTCAAAACTGATTAGGTTAATAAATTTCTGCACTTGATAAATTATTCAATTTACAGATTAAGTGCTAATTTCTATCTGCTAAAAATTAATTTAAAACAATAAATTATGCTCATAAAATAAAAAATTCTAATGAGGCTAAACTTAACTGTGAGATTAAAAATTTTAAGTACAGTTACACAAAATAAATGGGTTTTAAAGTTGCAGAAAGATCAACTAAAAACCATAGGCCTCATTTTACAGTTTTTGTGCCAACTTCAAAAGCTTATATACATTCAGTTTGCCCAAATCCATGAGGTTTTCCCAATCTAAAAAAATGCCATATACTTTTAGAAATTATGCAGCAGATTAATTTTATTCTTCTTGTTTTGCCTACCCATTTTTTCCTAAGAAGCATACTACCTACCTTCAACACTGGGTTAGGAGTTAAGAGAATGCAGTGCCTGGCACATGGTAAGCATTCAGCAATGCTATCTTTCTTCTTTACTTCCTAGTAGCTTCTTTCCTTCCCTACTAGCTCTGTGCTTTGACTACATGAGCTTAAATAGGTCCTTTAACCTTAATATCAGATGCTTTTCTCTAAAGCAGGAATATGTCATGTATTTCTATTTTAGAGGTGGTTATAAGGTCAAATGAAATAACATGTGAAGGCATTTTAGAAAACAGTAAACCACTATTCAAGTTTAAGTTACTCAAAATAACTAACTACAATTATACAAATGTATTCACTTTACATAAGAGATGTGTTCCAGAAAAGTGTTATGTAAACCAATTAAATCATATATTTAAAAGCATTAAAATATCATAAAAAACTACCTTCAAAATGCACAGTATTCTTTTCAATGTGAAAATGCAATATTCCCTTTTTTGCCACCAAATATACAATATACCTTATAATACACGCACATACATATATAACATTTGCCTTTTTGTATGTCCAAATTTTTCCGTATTAGCTTATACATAAGAATAAGTTGAGAATATTTTTAGGTATGACTTATTTCACTACAGTATGATTTTTAATTAAAATCTTGTCAGTCTTTATGATAAAAATCATAAAGATGTATTATTTGCAATCAATTTTAGGGACTAAGAAACTAATAGTACCTCATATAATCAAGCTCATTCATGTAAGTACCCCAGATATTACATTTCCACACAATGTAAGAATGCTTTAAAAAAGAACTACTAGCAATTATGCCTACTGCTCCTAAGATAATTACAACCAAACCCTGGTAAATAAGGCAAAACACAGGTTGGTCTTATTATTTATATTAACTACTTTGGTTAACTGCCTCAATTCTCAACATTTTTTCTTTTATCATCATTAATATGGCAAATGTTCCTATAAAGTACCTTCATTTCTTAAGTGCTTTAACAGTTTCCTCTATTACTAACTGGTTAAATTTTACTCACTGAACGTTCATTATTTTATTTGTGATTTTTTTCACAAGGGCCAGGCCAGACTTTATAGTTTACACACAAAAAAGTGCTTAAAGCAATTGGAAGTGTAAACAAAACAAATAGAGAACTTTTAAAACTGGTATTGTCTAATCCTTTATATACAAATAGCATGTTAATAGTAAATCAATCCTGCCTAGACTATTCTTTAAGCACCCTAATAAGAAACATAATTTAGTTTAAGTTCAGACTGATTTGAAAATATGGAAAGTGCACATCTTTAAAATCTTATAATTCTAACCTTTCCTTAATTGAATTTAATCAGTGAGGTTTTGCTGCAACTGCTATTTCCTTTCAACAAGTCCTTGACTTTGTCTCGTACAAAAATAAGAATCAAGGATAATTATAGATATTAGGCTTATATGAAAGCAAAAATAAAGATCTGGATTGGATGTAAATCTGTACACAAGTAGTAGAAGTTCCATTCAATTAAACAATATTAGGTTAAACTAGGTGCAAATTTCACAATCAGTTTGGCACTTTCTAACAATTATACATAAAATATGTAGGTTCTGTTTACCAGTTTCAATTAGACAAATTAAATACAATCCAAAGTAGCATGTTAAAATAAATGGCATTATTTATAACTGCCTCTTAATGAGATGAAGATACAAGCTGTGATATATTGTTAATGTTTCTGAAATAAATGCTAAGTACAAAAAGTGAACTTACCTTGAAGACATCTAGTTAAAGGTGAGATATTTTTCTTTCAACACATTTTCAACTTGTATAATTAAATGTCTAAACCTACGTTTGCCACTTTTTGTTCATAATGATTGACATATAAGCAAACTTAAATTATCTGGATTATCATTTCAATCCGAAATTTTTTTTAACATGCTAATCTTGCCTCTTAGCTTTCTAGCTCTGAGTTTGTCTGAAACCCAAAGAAGAGATGTCAAGACAACACAGAAATACCCCAAATTTTCTTATACCTTCAAATTTCTGATTTCGATTTTAAAAATATGGATGAAATAAAAATACATCTTAGATTAGGATACAGAATAGTTGGAATTACCAGTATATTCTCACATTCCTTCTTAATGGCTACATAATCCTTAAACTTATTTGTAAGATGGTAAAGAGAAAAGGGAGACTAAAGAATAAACATTTCCACTTATGATTACAAAAAAACCCCAATGTCAGCAGCTAATAATTCTGAAAAGTTTAAGAATCATTAAAAATTAGCACTAATTTTAAAAGTCACAAAAACATTTCAATATTAAGCCAAAGTATGTCTAAATATTCATATGCTCAGTTAACCGTTTTCTTGATTTGAAATTGTTCTGAGGACTTGAGAAACTAGAGAAAATTAAAAAAAAAATAGCAGCCTTCTTAATTTAGAAGCTACCAGCTTTTGGCTACCATTAGCACATAACCATCAAAAAGTTTATGGAATGTTTCCTCATGGATGATGTTCATTAGCAGAAATATTTTGAACCGCAGTAGTGTTATCAAGGCCCAGTAATGTTCCAAGGTAAGACTGATCTCTAGGATCTAGCATTTGTTCAGGTCGGACTGGATGAACTATATTTGCAGGTTGAGGAGTAAGGGTATATTTTTCCAGAAAAGCTAAGTCAGCTGCACGTGGATAATCAGTGGATTGTGGCTGTGTGGATAAGATCTCATGAGAGGATGGTGGAAGTGTTGTAGTATGTTGAACTAGATCACTCGGAGTGTCGGGCATCTGAACTGGAACCAGTGTTACTGGAACACATACTTCAGCAGACACATTCTGTAATATAGTCTTGGCTTCTGATTGATAAAGTTTGGGCTGTTCCATATATTGTTTTGTTTCTGTCTGAAAGATTTTATCATCCGATGAGTATTCCACTGGCAAAGATACAAGTTTCTCCTCAGAAGTACTGAGAGGATCATCAGGAGACTTAATTCCATGAACATGGTCAATATGGTATTTTAGCTTGTCTTTCCGCTTAAATGTTGCATTACAGTGCTGACAGTTGAAAGGTCGGGCATCAGAATGAATAACTAGGTGTTTTGTTAAAGTTTTCTTAATTCTAAAAGACTGATTGCAAATTTGACACTTGTATGGTTTTTCACCTGTATGAACAAAAATGAAATTAAAATTTAAACTGAATCCATTGATGATTTAATAGCAATTTTTCCTTATGCATACCTATAAAAACTAAGAGTAATAATAATATTGTATGCTATTCCAAAATATAGTCCAGCAGACTGATAGAATGAGTTAAATAAATATCAAAAAGATAGCTAGAAATTTGGCTATACCATTTATTAGCCACACAGTGAGCAAGGCACTCAATTTCTAGGTCTAATTTCTTTACTTGTAATATGAAAATAATTACAGTATTTAAATGATAAAGTAATGTAATAGTGATTAGCACTGTACTTCACACTTAAGTGCTTGATAAACTTTAGCTATTGTTATGATTACGTTTTTTACTGCTTCTGTAGCACACAAAAATGTGTTACTCTGAGACATCTGAGTTCTTCCTAAGGAGAGAAAAACAAAAACAAAAAACCAAAAAAACCCAGCAACTCTGTGTAACCTGGCTTCTTGGATGGGAACAATCCATTTAGAAAGACCTCACATTCAGCCTGAGGTCAAAATAAGGAAAGTTGACTGCTAAAAACAACAAAGAAGCTGTATCACTTTTTATTTATTTATTTATTTGGTACTGGGGATTGAACTCATGACCTTGCACTTGCCAGGCAGGTGCTTATGCCACTGAGCTAAATCCCCAGACTCCTGGATCAGTTTTTAATTACTCCTGAATACAAAGTCTCACATTATAGTTCTATTTTACTTTCATATAAACATTAAATAATCTTAGGTTAGCCAATATGATAGGTAGAATAATGGCCCCTCAAAGATATGCATATTCTAATCCATAGAAGCTGTGAGCACATTACTTTACATGGTAAAAGTTATCTTTTTTTTTTTTTTTCCAATTGTACCAGGGATTGAACTCACGACCGCCTGCTTGCAAGGCAGGTGCTTATGCCGCTGAGCTAAATCCCAGCCCCCTTACTAGTTTTCTTTCTTTTTTTTTTTAAGGTAAAAATTATCATACAGATACAATTAAGGTTAAAATCTTGAAATGTGGAGACTGCATTATCTATCTTTGTGAGACAAGAATCTCAAAGAGTAGTTGATAAATGAAGAATGGGTCAGGGAGATTGAGAACTCCCTCCCCTAAATTGGGATGTTTGAAAATGGATGGTGGCCACTACAAGCTATGAAAGGTTCTCAGCTTACTAGTGACAGGAAAGCTAGAACCTTTAAGAACTGGATTTTGCCAATAATTTCAGCGAGTGGCAGAGTCTTCCTTAGAGACCACAAGAAAGAAATACAGCCCTACCAACACCTAGACATAAGCCCAATGAACTATAATACCATAAATCTGTATTGATCAAGCTGCTAAGTTCATGGTTGTTACAGCAGCAAATAAGTGCAAATATTGCAACAGACACAGTCATATCTAGATTACATGTTGTTACACAGATTCGCTGATAGCATTATTGCCTTCATCTCTCCATTTAAAACATAATTAATTCCTCAAAATTAAGGGAAAACTACATCTTAAGTTGAAACACCAATTTCAAAAAACTGTTAAATATCATTGTGCAATATTTGGTAGCCCGCTGAAAGTTTCAAACTCTATTAAAATACAGACTGGGATGCTGGGTCCCTAGTGCTATGAGTTTTTATTGTTTCTGTACTAACTGCATTACTAAGTTGCTAGAGCAGAAAAAAAAACGAAGTCACTTTATATAAAGAGCAACATTTCTTAAAGTACTTGTAACTTTACATAACACACAGTGAACTCAACATTTGAAATTACATTTGAATGCCTCAAATAAAGAAAATTGAAAACCTCACAATGTTTTCAAAAACAGCTTAAACTTTCATAGTGAAAGAACTATAAAGTTCTTTCCTATTAATCTCTGACTTTAATACTTGCATACAATACAAGGAGCTAATTTTTCCTGAAAATAAATAACGTCACTATCACAGGGGTAACAGCATCAAAAGCGTCCTTTACTTTTAAAGACCAAAAAAAAAAGTGTTACTTTTAAGTGCTTTCCTTTGGCTTAATTCCAGCCATGATAAACCTTTCAAAAGCTTTTACAGATGCAAGGTTTCTTTTTCTTTTTAAAATTTAGAGTCAATCAGTGTGTGATGAATACTTTTTAAAAACTTAGTCCCAGATAGATGTATTATTTTCAGAACTTTCTATTACTGAAAAAAGATATTTTCAGTAGAAAAAACAATTTAGGTTTTTAAAGACAAAATTCCATAAGGAAAATGTTGACATTATTATATGTATAAAACAAGTTTACAGTAAAGACACACAAATAGGAAAAGGCAATATGGTACTATGAATTTGAAGAAAGGAAAATACAGAAAAAAATAACTTTTATAGTAAGACTTTCTACAGTAAAATTATCTATTTAACAATAATTAACCCAAGTTTGGGGTATCCCAAGATTATAAGTCATAGATAAAAGGCAACCAAGGAAAGGTCCTTTCCAGGGCAAGCAAACAGGGATCTATTAAGAGCAGAAAGATTGTCTGAGGAATGTAGCTTAGTGCTAGAGTGCTTTCCTAGCACAGGCAAGGCCCTGGGTTCAATTTACCAACTGGGTGGAAATGATGAAAGTAAAGATACTCAGAGATGTAAAGAGATGTAAGCTATTTCTCAGTTAAGCCTGTATGAATTAAAAACGTTACCCACAGGATTAGCTATCTTTAGATACTAAATTATGGTGCTTAAGAATGTAACTTGAAGGGCTTTTATTGCAGACTTCATAAAGTGATTTATATCACAGCATGCATCTTGCTGGAGAAGGAGAAAATAAAAGGGTAAAAACAAAACAAACAAACAAACAAAAACTGCTGCTGTTAACAGGCACAAAAAAAGCACAACCTAGTCAGTCAGAACTGCAGCGGGTAAAGTTCTGTAGATACAGCAGTATGGCAGCTCTTCCCTCTCGACCGCTCTTTCAGACTCAGTGTTTGGGGAACTGGGGCAAGTCTCAGCCTGAGGCTTGAGGAAACAACGATGGAACAAAAATAAACACATAATCAAAACCTAAGACAAGTCTTTAGAACATGAAATAAAAAACAACTGGAAAACAGAAAGGGGGAAAATGAATACTAAAAACCTATGCAAAAACATTTTCCCAAGTTATAAAAAGTGATATTCAAAAATATAGCAACTTTTTGGCAATACTAAGATTGAACCCAAAGTTTGCCTACTTAGCTACTTCCCCAGCATGCTTTTTTGAGACAGGGTCTTGCTAAATCACTAGCATGCCAAAGCTGGCCTGAATTTGTGATATTCCTGTCTCTGCCTCCCAGGTAGCTGGGATTTTAGGTGTGAGCCACTGCACCTGCCAGGAGTACAAATCTTAATGGTGAACATACATGGACATGTGTTACTCTTGAATAATTACACAGAAATATAAAAAAAATGCCCAAGAAATTTTACCTGAATGTGTCCGAAAATGCATTTCTAGACTTGATTTTCCCTTAAAAATCTTCTTACAAACATCACATTGATGAAATGTTGCTTTATATCTAAGAAAACAAAAAAGTTTAAGGCTTTCAGTATAACTTTAGTAACAATGAAGACATTTCACATCTTTACTTATAACTGTACATTTAACTACCATATTAATAAAGTACAGAAACTTGAGGAAACATAAATATTTAAATACTGTTATTACCTGTAGCTCTTCCTCTTCCAGTTATATTTATCAACCAAATCTATAAAAAGATATCCTGCTTTGAATCATTGAACTTTTATTCTTATTGGGCATTATTTATACAAAAGAAAATTATAGGAACAAAAACACATCAATGGTGGGCTGAAGATAACAGGAAGGGTTCACCATAAAGTATTACTAAAAGAGTTTCTGTAGTGGTAAAACTCTTCTACATTTTAATGCTTATGATGATAAGTATAAAATTACATGCTAAAAAGAGTGAATAAGTTTTATGTAAATAGATACTAAGGATGATTTAAAAAGTTGCAATAATTTCAAAACCTGCATTCACAAAAAGCTGACACTGCTCTGCAGAAAAAAAATTTATGATAAAAGCCCTAATGAAGTTAGGTATGGAAAGATCGCACTTTAACACAATAATAGCTATCTATACGATAAACCATAGCCACTATAAGGGAGAAAATGGAGAGATTTCCTGTATAATCAGCAATGAGAATAGGTTATCCTCTGTCACCACTTGTATTTAAATTAGTGCTTGAAATTTTACCTATGGCAATCGGGCAAGGAAAAGGAATAGAAGATCCAAAGAGGAAGAAGTCAAGCTATTCTGATTTGTAGGTTATGTGATCCCATGCTTAAAAGATCCTAAAGACTCAAACAAAAGACTCTTAGATATGATCAACATATTCATCAAAATAGCAGAATATAAAATTAAAATTAATAACTTTCATATACACCAATAATGAACTCACTAAGAAAAATACTCTGAAAAACAATTGCATTCAAAATAGTAAAAAAAAAAAAAAAAAAGGATACCTAATAAGCAAATATCAATAGAACCAAGGATGTGAAACACCTCTAAAATGAAAACTACAGAACACCAGTGAAAGAAATTGAAGAAGACAATAAAGGACGAAAAGGCCTTTCATGCTCAAGGACTGGCAGAATTAATATTGCTAAAATGACCACATTAAGAAAGCAATCTACGGATTCAATGCAAAGATCTAGGTTTAAGATCTAAAACTCTGAAACAGAATAAAACATGGGGGGAAACACTTGAAGTTACAGGCATACACAAAAACTTCTTGGATAAAATTCTAGAAGCCCTGAAAATAACTGTAAAAATCAATAAATGAGATTGCATAAAATTAAAAAGTGTGTGCACAGCAGAGGAAGCAATTAACAGACTGAAGAGACAATCTACAGAATGGAAGAAAATCTTTGCTAGTTATTCTTCCAACCAAGGGTCAATAACATCAATATCTAAAGAACTCAAAAATTTTAACTCTAAAAGAACCATTATCTTGGGCTGGGGAGTTAGCTCAGTGGCGTAAGCACCTGCCTGGAAAGCACAAGGTCCTAAGTTCGATTCCAAGTACCACAAAAAAAAAAAAAAAAAAAAAAGAACCATTATCTAATAAAAAATGGACAAATTGCTCAACACTTCTCAAAAAAAAAGAAATACATAACAAATAATTACATGAAAAATGTTCATATCTTTAATTATCAGAGAATTACAAATCAAAATTATACTGAGATTCCATCCCACCCCAATCAGAATGGCTATCCAAGTTACTGACCAAGTGTGGAAAAAATTTGCTTGAGAATGTAAATTACAACAGTCACTATGGAAATCAGCAGCAAGTTTCTTCTAAAAAACTAAAAATGAAACTGCCACATGGCCTAAATACACCATGCCTTAGGTGAAGGATTTAAAGTCAGCATACCCGTGTTTACTACAGCAAGATCCACGATGGCCATGATACGAAGTTGGCTCAGGTGCCCTTCAATGGATGGATGAAGGAAGAGTAACATATTCACACACACACAAACACTCAATGGAGCATTATTCAGTCATAAAGATAAAATAATGTCTTTGGAATTTAGAAAAACAATAAGGTGACATGAAAATAGGAGGCAGACTACTAGACAAGTGGAAGGGGACTGATGGAGGGGAGAAGATATGAAAGAGAGGGCCATAAGGAGATGGATATGAACAAAATGTTATATGAATGTATGAAAATCCCACAATAAAACTTGGTATTTTGTAAATTTAATATGCATTAATAAAAACTTACAGGAAGAAAACTGACATTGCTCTCATCAGTCTACTTAATAAATACTTTACATTTGAACTTATGAATAAATTTAACATAAATAAAAAGGTAATACAAATCCTCTACTTTTATTATAAGTAGAATAAAGTTACAAACTGCTCAAAACTTAACTTGGTAAGTATATTAATTACTTTTCTTTCATTGCTCAGACAAAATACCTGATGCCCAAAATGAAGGAAGGAAAGGTTTACTTTTTACAATTCTTAGAGGTTTCAGTCCATACTCAGCTGGCTCCAAGGGAGGATAGTATGGCTGAGGGGCGGCTGTTCATGGCCACTGCAAACAGCAAATGTGAACAGAGCAAAAGAGAAAAGACAAAATTTGGTACTAGGAGTGGGGCCATCTCTGTGACTGAACCTATTCATATGGTTCAAGAGCCTTTGAAAATGACTTGTGGGAAGAATTTTAAAAGGTTTGGAGATGTTGCCTGAAAGAATGGTGCTAACACAGCTTAGGCTGTTCTGTGGGGGAGACTTTTGTCAGAGCTAAGCCTGACAATAAAGACCAGGCTCAAGAGGTTTCTGCAGGGAAGGAGGACTACATTGGTTGTTGGACTCCACATGATGTACATTATGGCTTATCAGTCAATTTGTCTGCATTTTGCTCATGTCCAGAGACTTTGCCTGAGACTGAATCTAAGGATAATTAATTGATTAATCTGGCAGAAGAAATTTCAAGGCAGTCAAATGTTAAGGTGATGGCATGGCTATTGTCGGGGGCTTTTAGCCAGATTTATGTTGCAAATCAAGAGGAAAGAGCCCAGCAGGATGATTCAAAATGATGTGAACTTGACCAGAATGCTGTGGACTGTAAAGATAGAGCTGAGGCCCCAATTGCTGAGAAAGAACAAAGAAATAAAAAACATAGCCTGGGCGCACCCCAGGAAGCAGTGGGTATCTATCCTCAGAACTGCAAAAGTGAAACACTTTGTTCAAAGAAGAAAGCCACAGAGCGCCATGTTCCAGACAGAGACAGAAGCCACAGGAGGCTCCAAAATGATGGCAGCCACACCAGATTTTAGAATGGTGGAGACACAGAGAAGCTGTTGTTCCTCATAATCAGGTTGAGAGTGATCAGCAATCCTGGCACTCAACCCCTGCAGCCAAGAAAGAGAAAAGCCTGGCTGCTGCTCCAGTTGGCAGTGGACCTTGGCAGCATCCACATGACGCTGATTTTAAGTGAATGGAGAATGTACTAGTTCTGAGGTTAAGGCAGCTCCTATCCCAATTTCAGAAGGCCTGGAGGCCAAGCAATGTGCCCTTGAGAGGGCAATATGTGACACTGTGTGAAGTTTGGAAAAACCAGGAACATGGATCACCCAAGGAAAACTGCAAAGATAGAGCAGAGTGGATTTAAGAGAAAAGCTATGGGAACTGAAATCCTTGGAAGTGCCATGGGAGTAGTCACTCAAGTCTTTAGGAGCTTGTAACCAAATTGCTTCAGCTGCAGAGCATGGAACTCCAGGACTTAATGTTTTCTTTGCTGGATTTTGGAACTGCTTTGGCTCCAATGTTTTGTACTCCAGGTATGTAACTTTTGGAATGGTAATATTTATCTTGTGCCATTGTAAATTAGAAATGTTTAACTTTGTTTTCATTTGTACAAGAACTTGGAACTAAGAGTTTGCCTTAGATCTCAGAGGAGACTTGGGACTTGGGACTTTTCAGCTGAAACTGTTGGAAGTTTGGCAACTCTTGGAGATGGACTAAATGTTTTTTGTACAAAGGATATACATGAGTCTTTGGAGGACCAAGGATGTAATGTTATGGTTTGTGTTCACATGGCCCCCCAAGCCTCATGCAATCATGGATGCAGCTGGATCTAGCATTTATGATTGGTTTGTTGTCTAGGGCTGGTATTGATGATGTGAGCGTTGCACCTGCCCAGGGGTGAAACCAACTTACAATGTAAAGGTGAGAAGAACGCATGTCTTTCTTTTGCTCAGTTCACTCTTGCTATTTGCAGTGGCCATAAATGGCTACCCTGACATGCTGTCCTGCCTTAAAGCTAGCTGTGTAGGAAATGGAACTCCCAAAACTGTAAGAAATAAACCTTCCCTTGCTTCACTTTGAGCATCAGCTATTTTGTCTCAACAATGAGAGCAAGAAAAGTAACCAAGATAGTAAGTAACACAGAGCAGGGTTTAACAAGCATTTTTGAGTGAAAAAAATCCCAAATTCAAAATTTAATTGTAAGGCCTATGACATATATTGAACAATTAGCACTTAAACATAAGTAAAAGTCTACCCCCTCCTGGTCTTTAAGTAAAAACAAGAGGGAAAAATATGTTTTTAGGTCTTCAAAGAGAAGCTACAGAAACTAGAGAAAAAAATTAACCATTCACAAATTAAACAAAATGGACAACAAAGGTTGTAAATTTTCTCCAACCAAGATTCAGCCGACATACTAATTCTTAGACATTTTGCTTTTCCACTTACTTTTGCCATACTTTTTCTCCAAGGTGCACACTTTTGTAATGAACAGTAAGATGATCCCTCCGACCAAAACATTTCCCACATTCTTCACACTGATGAGCCTTTTCACCTAAAAATAAATTCCCAAATATTTTGATTATAGTAGGTATCTTAGTTTTCTTTTCTTTTTTTTTCACCAGAAACAAATGACTAAATAGGAACATCATATAGTGGCAAATATACCAGCAAAATAAAGCCACTTTTTGTATTCTAGGCTATTTCCTTTATATTCTTCACTCAAGTATCTTTCATTAAAAAAATAGGCTAATCTAATCTAATTTCACGGATGTGAATCTTTTCCACGTTGGCAGAAGGAATCAGCAGCCTCCTGTCATGGATATCAAGTCTTACCTTTCAAGGTAACAAGTAAGAGAAATGAAATTACTTCAAAATTCAGGACATATTTGAGGGCCATATATCTAGATATAAAACACCTCAAATAGACATTTACTAAATTGAAATGAGGCTGTTTTACTATTTAAAAGAAAAGGACCTAAACATTTTCAGATCTTTGTACCTTGCTTTTAGGAGATTTTCACTTGTGGGGATTTCTCACATTTGCAATGAGCCAAAACACAGAAAATTTTAAATGATTCTCTAGTTTTACACTTAGCTACAATGGCTTAGTCTTTAAAAATCACTCTCAATGCCAGTGCAATTAACATACATGACTAGAATTAAGAATTTAGAACTCTCTTCCTAGAAATGAAAATGCATTTATGGAAATGAAAATAGTCACTAGACCTTTAGCACCTCTTAAAAGTGACAATATGCATACTATATATTTAAATTATATTTATAATAATAATAATAATCACCTGTTCTACTGTGCTCATAGAGATGGCTCTTTCCCATTATTGTGCTCACATAGTTGGCTCTCTTAGCACTTCCTGAACATCAATCTGAGAGGAAAATATGAAAGAAATCCCCAGAATATAAAAATTATATAAATAGTATAAAGATCTGAAATTGATCTGGATTATTAAGATTGTATTTTCCAATGACAGAGTTTCAAAGTTCACTATAACATAAACTTTAATACCCAGTTACAGCTGGTATCTCTTTAAATACCAAAGTTTTACCAACTTCTCAAATATAAGCAAAATCAGAAATATTAAGATGGTCTCTCCCTTCAAGGGAAGAACAAGTAATTATACACATATTAATATAACATGAAAATTGCTGATTTGGGGAATTTGTTTACAATTAAACTTTAAAATGTGTATCAGAGTCACAAACAGTGATCAAATGATTAAAATTGCACTGAAAATGTCATAAAATTATTTTCTTTTCAGATTTGTTTTCCAAAAAGATTGAGAACCAACATTACAAGGAAGAGATCAAAATATTTCAAATTATTAAAACTACAGCCAATAACATAAATATGATGCAACATTATATTCTTTTCAGGTATTTTTAAAAGGATTCTGAAACTAGCATACAAATTATAGCTTACCTGAATGTATTTTTTTGTGCTTAGTAAGGTGGTCATGACGAATAAATGTTTTCCCACATTCATCACATTCATATCTTTTATCATCATGATGTACTCGTAAGTGAAGTCTGTAAGAAAAAAATTGACAACCACTAAAACTCAGCAACCAGAAGGAAACTGATTACTAATGAAAACTGGACTGTCCACTTAACCACATGTACCTCCTATGTATGACTTACAGAGTTCTTGCCAGTGTTTTATCAATTGATCCCAAGGTTCCTATTCACCTCTTCAAAAAATGCATGTCAACATTTGCACATACTCAGTAGTATTTCTGGATGATATGTCTCAACTTGTTAAAATCTCAGCATACCTACTTCATTGAATCTACCAAAAACATGGGTGATAATTTATCTGACTAGCCACCTTCCAGAGATACAAAAACAGGTACATTTCAGGAATTAAAATCAGACAAATGAGGTTAAGTGCACAATGACTACGCGATAACAACAGCAAATTACAGAGCAGATAACTGAAAATTAATCTTATTATGGACAACTGATACCACTTACAAACGATACTTGAATGTATAATTATTCTAGAGGATCTCAATCTTGTGAAAATTATACTTTACCACTTCACACTGATTGAACAAAATGGAGCCCATTTTATAATGACTCTAAAATAGATTATAAAAGGTTTAGATTATTAAGATTCATTTAACTTGATTCATTTTTATCCCTGTAACCTATCTACATATATATCCTAGTGAAAAGAATAGCTTTCCCATTCCAAACTGAATGTTGATTCTACCGTAAAATGGAGATGGAAGAAAAATTAGTCAATAGACTAGACTAAATCTAAAGGAGAAACATTCTGTTTAAACTTAAAGGTAAGTAACAATTGAAGTGTAAATCTTAAAGCATTAACACTAAGATTGTAAGCTTGGTGGGGTGGTGCTATTTTAAGAGTCTGAGGCAGGAGATTCACAAGTTGGATGGTGGCCAAGGCAACTTAATGAGAACTTGTCTCAAAATGTAGTTTTATTATAGAGGAATATTATTATTGTGAAGATGTAATTTTCTCTTACTCAATGTAAGGGAAAAGGCTTTTCTTACCTGTATGAACTTCCATGCCGAAAACTCTGCCCACAAATACTACAAAGATGAGGCTTTTCTCCACTGTGGATTCTCAAATGTTCTTTTAAAGTAGTTCTGTGTTAAAAGTACATATATTTAAAATTCTTTTAACCTCAATGCATATATTTCCCAGAGATTTAATTATTTAGCATCATCAAACTTTGAGAACATAAATAAAAAAATACTGAATTATTACTGACTTAGGTAAGAAGGATGTTGATTTGGTAAGCAGTGTTTAAAATATTTTTGGAATCCAGTCAAAATGTGTGCTCAATATTTACTTCAAAAATGTCTTAAGGCTTAACATAATGTTATGTATACCTCTGTGGAAGTGAAAAAGCAACCTATGGAAAGAAGCAATTGATATTCCTAAGTCTTTTAGCCAACTGACTCTGATGGGTTACTGTGTAGCTACCACTACTCCAAATACAGCATTATCAACCTTCACAGTTTCTCATACACTGAAGTGTTGAATGAAGATGAAGCTTTTTACGGGGAAGAAAGTGAAAGATAAAATATGATTGACCTTTGCAGGTTTTAGCTATAACTATAGCAGTTTTAGCTATAACTATCAATAGGTTTTTATTTCATTCCCTGACCTAAGGAATTTAAAAAAATGAAAGCAGGGCTTTGCCAGCAGGTGGTGCTCTTCTACAAGGCACCCCAACACTTGACAAGTGCCAGTTTCAACTATAAATATCTTCACGGAAAATACTAAAAGTATTCCTAAACCCCCTATAAGGTAGTTACGGAAACAGAAAATGTGGTTATTTTTATTTGGGTTTTTGGCTTGTTTGCCTGTTGTTTTTACAGAAAGCTCTATATAGGGAAAAAGAAGTCTATGATTAATATAGTAAGCTATATAAGTTTCCCACTAATTTTTCTATTCCTCCATCACAACCATCTGTTAAAGAAAACAGCACTTTTAATTTTTTTATTTATGAAACTTTCATGTACTGTATAACTTATATATACTGTGAAGAGTAGTATTAAAGAAATATATAGGTTAGGAATTAGAAAATTACTGGTATCTGAAATGCTTCCACCAACTTCTCCTAAATCTTACTCTTCTTTCCTCAGAAATAATCACATATTCTAAGAAGTCCTTGTTTCATATACCTATACGGGTGTGTGTCTTGCTAAACAATGTATTGTATGCTTCTGAATAGCCGAGTAGCAGGCACAAATCTTGTAATACTGCTGCTATTAAAGGGCACAGAAAACAGTATGAACAGGATCTCTGGATCAAAGTCTAGCTGGGGTTTGAGAGTTACTAAGAGACCTTTCTGGCATGTCAGTATATGGTAAAGTCATTAATAAAACACACGTTTACCATAGTAAGAACATCTGACAGAGCTCGTATACATCCAGTACTGAAATAAATCTACAGAAACATGGCCAAAATAAGTAGACTGCTCTTACATTCTTCTTTTTAGTTAACAGCCACCTACCTCTAATTCTCATGGGACAGAGGTAACGTTTTTGTGACATGAAATGAGTATCAGCAGCTAAGTGAAACATTTAACTTAATGCATTTTTAATTGGATTCTACAGAGCTAAAATGGTATGTCAACCACCTAAATCTGCAAATCGTGATTCCATGTCATCTTCTGTAACATATATAATTTCTTCTTTTGCCCTCATATTTTAAACTAATGCATACTTCAGGTATGTGTCTTGAATTACTGTACCCTTTTATAAGCCATATTTATAATTGTTTTTATATAAAAGGCACTAAATTTTTGTACTTATGTAGATAATTTGTCACCTTTCTCGTACTGATTTCCCACAAATAAAGCAAGTCCATTTTCTCTTCCCACCATGAGTGCATTCTATATGGCGTTTCAAATTTCCAGTGTCGTTGAACTGCCTACCACATATATCACATGGAAAAGGACCTAAAAGAAAAAAGAAAAAAATATAATAGTGTATTTAAAATTAAAGTTCAACACTAAGGTACACCTAATAGATCTGCTATAAATTTATGTTACCACTATCAGGGTATGCATCACAACATACTGCATTTACTGATTTGCAGTTTTCTCTGAAAAAATATTTTTTCAGAGTATTTCTAAAAGACAGGTAACTATCATTTCTATGTCCCTAGAACTATGTATAGGGTTGGCAGGTAACAGACATATTACAAATGCTGAATAAACTGATGTGTTATAAATTGAAATGGCCAATTCCTACTTCGAAATCAAACTGAAATGAAACAGAATACACTATCTTCTTTCTGTGAAGAAGGGGTGAAACCTTGAAAGAATGAAAATAGTAACAGAATTTATCAGTTATAAATATACACACAGTGGTATGATTAAGGTTTTAGAAGATTTTTTTTACGAGATTTTAAATTTTAAAAAAGGTTTTAAATTTTAAAAAATTATTACACTCAAAGACATATTGCCATCAATCACCCTTTTGTCACTTTCTGAAGCAGTTTTGGAAGTCTTCCTTGGTGTCTACAGTAGCACTGTCACAGCTGCCTCAGTGTCTTGAATTATTCAAAACATTTAACTTTCTCATGGTCAGATTCAATGAATAAGATGGATAAAGACACACAAGAAAGCCTCCCTGTCTGATGGGTGTCACTCAACAGCAGCATTCACTAGAGACATGATTACATCTCATAAAGATTCTCCTGAAAGAGGGTTTTCAAGAACTGCTTCAAAACTTGGCAAGAATGAGAGATAAATGTGTTCAAGGGATGGAGAATATTGCGAGGGAGATTAATAACAATGTGCTTTTATTACCATAATCAATTTTTAAAAATCTAAACATTCACTGTATATTTCTATCACACTACGTATTGCTATTCTCCATACAAATTTTTAGTGATACGGAGTGGAAATACTGTGGCACATTTTTGTACCATCTTATAAAATTAAACCAAATTTCTCACAGTAATTGTTTTACTTTTCTCATTGCTGACAAAAAGTATCCAACACCCAAAACTAAAGAGGGAAAAGTTTATTCTTATAGAGGTTTCGGTCCATAATTGGCTGGCTCCATGGCAGAGAACAAAAAGTTCATGGTGGCAGAAGACAGCAAAAGCAAGTAAGGAAGGGAGAGAGACGAGTCTTTTGCTGTCCCTTATACTGTATACAAGCTACCTGCCCTAGAGTAGGTACAATACTACACCCTTAATCCTAGCATTTGACCTTGAATAAATCACAAACTCTAGATTCAGCTACCTTGAAAAAGACCACCCACCATGACTGCATGAAGCTTTGAGGGGGACACTCACACACAAACCATAACATTTCATCCCTCGGTCCTGAAAGACTCATATACATCCTTTGTGCAAAAGGCATTTAGTCCATCTCTAAGAGATGCTAAAGTCCTAACAGTTTCAGCATCCTGAAAAGTCCAAGGCACAAGTAGCTGAGATTTAAGGCAAACTTGTAGCTGTGAGCCCCTATAAAAATGAAAAAGAAAGCTAAATATTTCCAGATTCAATGGCACAAGATAAACATTCCCATTCCAAAAGTTACAAAAAGTGGTATACAAAAAAAACGTGATGAAAGAAAGTCCAAAATCTAGCAAGGCAAACATTAAGTCCTGTAGTTCCATGTGCAGCACTGAGGCAATCTGTGGCAAGATGCAACTCCAAAATGTGACTGCAACCCTATGGCACTGACAGTTGTTGTAGCTCTCATGGTTTCTCTCTTGGGCTCATTCAACTCCCTCCTTGCAGTCTTCCTCAGACAATCCATGTTCTTGGCTTCTCCAAACTTCTGGGGTCATCAATGCCCCTTTGGCTTCATACTTACAGCTTCACCACACTGCCCTATCAGGGATACACTGCCTTATCAAGGACACACTGCCTGGCCACCTAGGCTTTCTGAAATCTGGTGGAAGTCTTCCTGACTCCACAACTCTTTGATTCTGCATACACCTAAAACCAATGCCATGCGGATGATGCCAAGGTCTGTAGCCATATAGAGCAGTAGTCAGCTTCCCCTCTTTCTTGGCTGTAGGGATCAAGTATCTGGATCACAGAGCACTCTGAATCCAATTCTGAAGAACAAATTCTCTGTACTGCTGCCATTCTGGAACATGGTACATTGGGGCTTTCTTCTCAAAGCAAAGTCTTTCACTTTTGCAATTTTGAGGCCACAAGGGGTGGAGTATTGCTGCTTCTTGTCATGCCCTCAGACCAATTTTTCTATTCTCCTGTTCCTTTTCAGCAATCCATATCTCCTGTCTTCTATCTGTGCAGTCCACAGCTTTACTGGAACTTTCTTTCTGGCCAAATTCACAATGTTTTGAATCATCCTACTGGGCTCTTTGCTTGATTCACAACATAAATTTGGCTGAAAGCCCCCAACAGCAGCCATGACATTGCTTCAACATTTGACTTGAAAGTTCTTCCACAAGATTAATTAGCCCATCACTCTTCAGTCTCAGACAAAGTCTCTGGACATGAGCAAAATGCAGACAAAATTTTCTGCCAAGCCAAAACACAAATCACCTGAAACCAGTTAAGTTCTTTTTTTCCAAATAGAAACTTTCAGAACCTGGTCTTTACTGACAGGATTGGTATCAGCCTTCTGGTCTTCTGAGCTCTAATCAGAATCTCCCGTACAGTACACCGTAGAGCATTTCAGCTCTACTTGTTCAGCTAGCATCTCTGAACCTTTCCTAACTCTTCCTCTTTTTTCAACAAGCCAAGACTTAAGGCTCTTGTGCCACATGGCCAGATGTCACAGCAACTTCTCTGGTAACAAATTCTATCTTAGCTACCTTTCTCTCATGGCTGACATAAAATACCAGAAGTCAAAGTTAAAGGGAAAAAGGTTTAGTTAGTTCACAGTTTGTACAGGTTTTAGTCCATAACTGGTTGGCTTCAGGGTAGGGTGGCACATAGCAGAGGGCCAATCATTATGGTGGTAGAAGACAGCAAAGACAACAAGAAAAAGAAGATGGGGGGAGGAATGGAGGGAAGAAGGGGAGAAGGAGAGAGGAAAAAGGAGAGGGAGAGGATGAGGGAGAGGGAGACAGAGACAGAGAGGGCAGGCGAGTGCATGAGCTCTTTTTGTCCTTATATTGCATGCAGGTTACCTGCCCTAAGGTGAGTATAATATTCACACCCTTAATCCCATCACTGGACCATGAATCACGGAAAAGTCTTCCTACCATAATTGCATAAAGCTTTAAGGAGACATTCAGAAGCAAACCATAACAGTAATACTGATCCTAGCTGGATTCTGAAATTCACTATGATTTTACCAAATAGACAAGTGAAAAGAGTAGTTTTACTAAATGGCAAACTAAAGGAATATGTGAAAAGAAATATAGTAGATACAGCTCAAGGAAGGTATACATTTGGAAGATGTCTCAGAATTTGAATGGGCGAACTAAAGAAGAAATTGTAATGAATTAACCATAATAGCACAATTTGGACACTGTCATTCACAAACATATTAACAAGCAAAATTGCTTAGTAGACCCAGAGGCCTCGGGAGAATTTCAATATGTTTTGTACATTACAGATGAGAGATGACCTCAAAAATTTACATTGTATTAAGAATTTATAACATTCTTAATTCCTAAAATAACATTTTCCATGGGTTCTGAATCTTTTACTAACTTATTAAGTATTAGTTCATATCTTGTACTCTACTAAGTACAATGTGTTATTAAAAATCTCTCCACCCTGCCTCCACCTGCATAGCACAAAAAGATCCCAGGAACTGACAAAAGGAGAGTATTTGCATAGGTAAAAATAAAAGGATTAAATAAATAAAAGATCCAAAATGAACATATTATGAGAACTATGATATAAGCAAAGATCAAATGCCCACTGGTAAAACTTTTTATAAGGTAATAACTATATGTATAGTTAACAGACTCAAGTGGGGCAAAGGAAGAAATGGAACTTTTACGTTAAGTTACTTATCAGAGTTCTTCAAAGAAAACAACTACTATGTATTAATGTTTTTTTTTCCTACATTGTAAACTCAGCTTTGCATGCAGCCAAACTTTTTTGAACTTTTTATGTATAAAACTAAGCTAGAAACTGATACTAAATTAGATCTTGAAGCCAACTTTCCAGGTAGCTAGAATAATAAGATTTGACTTTTAAAACCCAAACAGTAACTCTTATATTTATAAACAGACTTACATATTAAAATTTTTTTCCCTCACCTGTTCAGTTATATTATATAGGTATCTCTCCCTCTGACTTAACAAAATATATAATCCTAATAGAAATGGTTCTTCTCAATCTGTAGTATCTAATCATCTGCTTCAGCATTATCTGGGAACTTGCTAGAAAAGCAAATTTTGGGGCTATTCTTTAGAACAATACATTCAGACACACAAGGGATGCAGTTCCGCAAACCGAACTTCAAAGTTAACTTAAACAAGTTCTCCAGATGATCTTGATATATACCAATATTGTGAAACACTCTATAGAGTATCTAGAGCATATAGTGATTCAAGGGAATAGAATAGAGGTGAGGTGTAAAAGAAGCTTACTATATGCCATTAAATATTCTTGTTTATCATTAAGAAATAAACCAGATACAGTACTGAATACACACACATACAAAATATTCAAAGAAATGGTCTATTGGGTTAATTTTTATTCTATTTGGGTTATTTTTTAAAATAGTAAAACTACAAAAATTGTTTTATTTAAAAATAAATATTTCTCAAAGGTCTTGAAAATAATAACACTAGAAACAGTAACAACATTCAGAGAAAGGAAGTATAAATAATGCCTGGCTCTACATGTGGTACTTTATAACTGTCACAACATTTACAAAGCAGGCATTTACAGTAATTGTTTCAAAAATGAGGAACCCTGAGTTCTGAGAGGCTGTTCCAGATCACACAACAGGTGGCTTAGTATAATGCTGAAAACCAGCCTTGCTATGAAGTCTCATACTTCACTAATACTTTTATACTTTCTCCTAATGATGTTGACTCTTACCTAAAATTATATAAATTAACTAATCATTTATAAAACATTTGCATGAACAAGACAATATCATGTAGTGACTTAATTTGCCATGAATAGTAACCCCAGATTCTAACCCAGAGTTGATCATTTAATTGGCATCTATTCAAATAAATACTTACTGCTTTGAATGTTCAATGTCCTTCCCTTGGGCATTTTACTCAGTGAACTTTAAATTACCAGGTTAGCTAACCCTTACTGTTAGTTTTGCAGAACAGCTCTCTTTTATTGATATACTAAAACATGACTGAAAAATAATCTTTTAATAAGTCATAAAAATACCTAATTTAACCTCTTCTCAGGAGAGTCCTTTTCAACAACTCTTAAGAGCTCACCAATTCAGTATATCACTGTCGGATACTATTACGCTTTTACTGATGAAAAATACCTATTGTAATAAGTTACTTTAAGTTATAGGTTCACATATGTTAAAAAGGTTGATATTAAAATTAAATTTGTATCTTGGAATTTTCTCCCAACATTCTCAAAACGTTAATTCATTTACTAAATGATATGGCTAATAAAGGAAGAAACAGATAATGAAAGTGAAGTCTCTCGTGTCAGTTCTATAATTTACTGTATTTTGTTAGGATATTTTATAGAAATACCATAGTTTTCATTTGAAAATAAAAAAAGCTTACTAATCATCAAATAAAAACTATCCTCCTGGAACTAAAGGGCATAGAAATTTCTTACAAGAAAAATGCAATCATAAACATGTCTCAACTGCAGTTGGTAACCATACAAACTGTTCTGAGATTATCACATCTCAGAATTATTGAATTGGAATACTGTGAGTGTAAACATAGTAAAGACAATCTGAACTAAAAAGAAATAATCTTCGGGCATGTAATAGCCTTATATACTAGAATTTCAAAAATTAAATATGTCTTGTTACATCAAAGAGCCTTGAAAATATCTGAAAACAGATGTACTCCATCTCCCTTCCCTAGACAAAATATTTAATTTTATTTCAACAATTTTCCAGATGACATGTCTTTAATGTTCCTATATCACCAAAATTATTCACCTCTAAAATATATATGTATTTGTTAATATCCACAAAACTAGTTATACTATTATTACCATAATCCTGAACAATACACATTAACATAGTTTAAAACTACATTGGTTTGGTCAGTCACATCAAATTACTGTTTCACACTGTGTCTTTGCCTAAACAATCTCTGCTGCCAAACCCATCCAACAATAAGGAGTTTGAAGTATGGACCATTCTATATTTTTTAAGACTCAGTGATTAAAAGTCAGATTAGCCTCATAAGCTACAATGTTGTATTTATTCTTAATTAATTTTAACTTCATTTATTTTGATCTAATATCTAGCTTACAGATTTTTATATTTTTACAAAAATATAAAATACCCCTTGGCACATTAAATACCCCTTTTGGCTTTATGCCATCTAAAAAGCTATCTACCTAAATTATTTTTACTTACTCTTAAGTTATTTTACTTGTTATTAATAAAAACATTGAACAGTGAAACTGCTTCTGTGTAGGAATGACAATTCATTATTGGGATCATAAATTTGTCTAACTATTCCACCATATAGACCATGCAGTTCTACCATGGTCACAAGCATTAGGGAAAGAATTTATTGAATATAATATTTTATTCCACATATACTAATTTTACTCCATTCTTTAACAATGAATTTTAGTAGGCAAAACGCCTTATCTCAAGCACTTAGAAGTCTATCCAACAGACAAATGTGAATTGTCTGCACTGTTTATGCCAGCACATTTGCCATCCAAAATAAAACACAATACTGTATATAGTAATGTCCTAGAAATGCAGCATATACAGTACTTTTCCAAATTTGCGTGATTTCCTTTGCCTATTTCAACACACAAAGTTCAAGACTGCTTCAGCAGTTCTCCATAATAAAACAGTTTAGTAAAAATCTAACAAAATATGAACATGATCTATATAAGGAAAACTACAAAATACTAATGAAAGAAACTAAGGCAGAACTAAACAAATGGGAAAACTTTTGTGTTCATAGATTCAAAGACTCAATACTGTTAAGATGCCAGTTTTTTTCAACTTGATCTAGAGATTAATGCAATCTCAATGTAAATCCTGGAAAATTATTTTCTGGGTATTGACAAAATAAGTTAGTGTTCACATAGAGATGCTAAAAAAAAAAAAAAAATCCAGGACAGGCAACAAAATATTAAGGGAGAAAAAGCAAAGTTCAAGAAGTAACAAATCTGACTTCAAGATTACAAAGTGACAATAATCCAGACAGTGTACTGGGAGATGAAATGACAAAAAAGATCAATGAAACAGAAAAGAGAACCCAGAAGACAACCTAGACTCACAAAAATATGGCCAACTGATCAACAGAGGAGTGAAGACTGATCAACAGAGCTAATAGTGTTTTCAAAAAAAGGTACTAAACAAATGGATATGCACAGGAAAAATCTACGCACATTTTTGCAACTTTTGTAAAGGAACTCAAAGTAAATGATAGACCTAAATGCAAAACTAAAAATCTCTTCAAGGTCATATAGGCAAAAATTCTATTAACTTTGGGTTTTAGGATTACTCTTTAGATATGAAAAAAGTCACAATTCATGGATGAAAGGGCTGATCAGCTAGAGTTCACTAAAATAAGAATTTTTTTCTGTGACACTGTCAAGATAATGAAAAGACAAATTTGATTGGGAGAAAATACTTTAAAAGAAATTTGATACGGACCTTATCCAAAAAATACAAACAGCTCTCAAAAACAGCAATAAAAACAACCAACTGAACAAAGGGTCAACAATATGGCAGATATCACACTTCGGAAGATACACAAATGACAAATAAATATATGAAAAGATGCTCTACTTCATACAGCACCAGGAAGATGCAAATTCAGACAATGTGGTGCCACTAAACATTGATTATAAGGTCAAAATTCAGAAAATCAACAATACTAAATATTTAGCAAAGATGTGAAGTAACACTTATTGTCGGTTAGATGCAATATGGTACAGGAACTTTAGAAAACAGTATGGTGGTTTCTCACCAACTAAATATTCTGCTACTATCTACTAGTGCCTTCACACTCCTAGGCTAAAAATTTGTGTTCACATTAAAAACTTGCACACATGGGTTATAACAATTTTATTCACAGTCACCACTTGGACTACTATGATAGATGTTAACAGGAATGCTGTGTGAGATGGCAGGAGGCATAACGAGAAATACCTGTAACCCCTTAACTTAGCTGTGAACCTGGGATTACTTTACAAAATAAGAACTTTTAAGAGAAAGTGTAGAATAAGAATAGATGGTGCCTTCAGCATGACATAACAATCTAACGGTCATGACTGCTTTAATGAAGAGTATCTTGCTTACCCAGATGGAACTTTTCCTGATGCTTTAACCGTGCAAACCGTGATTTGAAATGTTCTTCACAATAGGTACATTTAAAAGGTTTATCCTGAGAATGCAGAATCATATGTTCCTCCAAGTGTGGTCTTCGAGTAAAAGATTTCTTACAAATCTAAATAAAAAACGTATATAAAATATGAGAACCAGAATTAAAAATTAAAACAAGCGTTCATATTGAGGGAAAAAACCCCATAAAATTCAAATGAATGCCAAAATAATCTCTCCCAAAAGTATAACCAAATTCTAACTATAGGAAGAGAAGGAGCTCTGGCAGAATTACAGTCAGGAATCATTGTAAATTGGTACTAAAGATAACTGAATTTCATCTCGTTGTATGTTTACTAAGCCTACAGAATAATCTAGCTTAATCCAAATAGGGATCTCTTAATCTGTAAAATACATGTTTAAACCATTTATATGTCAAAAATATAAGACTTTATCATTGCTCCCATATGTTTCATTAGACATAATTCTTAATTCATCATTTGGTGAATTATCAATTCATTTTATAACTGAGGATGATGAAACTCAGTAAGGGGAAAATATTATATAGATTCAAATAATATAACATGAACTTTAAGTTGTAGAAGCTACAGTCAGAGAAAGCTTGAGAATATCACTCTCTTCTTCTCTATGTAAATTGAAACCTTCAAGGAGATAAGAAAAAATGTGTATTAAATATTAAACAATTCATGTAGGAATTCAAAGAATACTTTAAGGATGTGATAGAATAAATGCTCATAATTTTTGGCTCTCACTAAAAAAGAAGTCTAGTTTCCTTCATCTTAAATCTGCCTGGCTACAGTGACTTGTTTAATAAGAAGACCAGGGTAGAAGAATTTGGTACTTCTGAGGCTATGTCACAAAAGGTCTTATAATTCTTGTTATCCTAGGCTTTCTGGAAGACTCAGTCCTGAAACACAACTACTATGCTAGAATTAACTCTAGAAAAGAACAAAGAGGCTCCTGGATACTGGTCCATCCTTGTTGACTCCCAGGCATCAGGTAACGCCACACTGCCAGTCACACGGGTTAGTCACACTGGAAGTGGCCCCAAACCAAGCTAGATCACCCACTAGCTAGGCACAATTAAATGACTAAACTGACACTGTGGGGAACAGAAAAACTACCTAGCAAAACCCTACCACAAATTTGGATTCCTGACCCATAAAAAGGCAAGGCAAAACAAAAGACTTTAACAGCATTATGTATTGAGGTAGATTATTATGCAGCAACAGATAACCAAAAATGAGGAGAAAGGGGTTTCCAACACTTCATGCTCTGCAATAATACACAGATCATACACGTAACAGTAAGCACACAATATAGTGATTTTTGTAAAAAATCATGATTTCTAATTCTCAGGCCAGTTATCTAGAAATTAACCCAAATCAGGTTAATTTGTAAAACAAACAAAACAAAACATTACAGTGATTTTGGTAATGTTGTATAAAAAACTCTTAAAATTAAGATCTGTTATTATATTACCATAAAACCTAATTACCTTCCTTTCCTAAAAAGCAACATCACATTTACTTTGATTTTCTAAAACAAATTAAAAATTCTTACATCACATTTCCAACTTTCACTCTTAGTCTTCTTAATGGAAATAAATTCTTGTGTATTTTCAGGATGAAATCTATCAAAGGAAAAGAGTAAAACAAGGAAAAGATTAAATCAATATTTCACACAATCTGTGAGTAGTAACTACAAAAATCAAGTACTGATTTCCCTCTTTAAAAGACAGATACATATAAGAACATAGGCATCAACACCATTTTTAGTAAATTTATCAATATTCCTAAATTTATAGATCAATAAAGAAAATTCTAACCATATTTTAAATACATAGAACTCAGAAGGCAGCCATTTATAAATAATACACAATGCTATTCGCCAGATTTTCTTTAGTTCAGATCTCAGTACATTTCATTTTCTTCAGAATTAATTTATATTATTCTTACAAACTTTTTTACCCTTTAAATGTAAATATAAAAAACAAATTTCCTAGCATTTTAAACCAAGTATTTCTACACACATATCTAGAAAATGTAAGTCAGAAGACAGAATAATTGAAATGTTATATATTAGACTCTTGTATTACAGACTATATTCTTGTTTCAGTACCAAACAATTTCATGTCAACAGCAACAATACGAACAAACACTTGCTGCTCTTAATTGTAGTCTACAAAGTGTTAAGCCATGAAAGAACAGTAGATAAGCACTCCATAGATGTTTTTAGTTTATTATATCTATATAATAGTTTAATTTATGTATATAATAAACTAAAAATACATATATAGATGTATTAGAAGACACAATGAAATAGACTATGGAAGCAAGATAATACTTGCCTCTTTACATGCTTGGCTAAAGTCTTCTTGCTTGCATGAAGTTTATTACAGTAAGGGCACTTGTGCTCCTTCTTATGAAATTCTGTTTCACTGCTGTGCTTCTTTCTGTGAACAGTTAGGTTAGACTTTGTTGAGTAGCGCTGATGACAAATATCACACTCAAAGGGCTTCTCACCTGTGTGCACACGGGTGTGGCTTTCGTATTTTCCTATAAAAAGAAAAATTAAGATTAATGATACCTCTCTCTCTCTGTGTCTCCTTCCCTCCCACCTTCGTTTTCTCCCTCTTTCTTTCTCTGCATGGGTTTCTTTGGAAAAAAATAAATGTTTAAATAAAAAAAGATTAATGATATATTCACTACACTATGACTGAAACTTGATAAGTGGAATAAAATGTCATGATTTGGTAAATTTAATATACACTCCAAAATCCACATAAAAAAACTAGAAAATAACTTTACTTAAACTTCTAACTCAGAGAAATCTCAAAGATTGCTTTGAGTTTACTGGTACGTATATTTTAAAACTAGTTTTTAGCAAAATACCTACTAATTATTTCCATAGTTTACCTTTACTATGGACATCCATAAATTGAATTGTTAGATCTCTTATAAATACTACAAAGGAAGGTAATACACATATATAATACTTTCATTTTTCTTCTCATAGGAGGTAATCCGGAAAGGGCACTACAAAGCTAGAGTACTGAACAAGACATATACTTCACTCTAACCTATTCATATAAGGCCTTCCCAACTTAAAGGAAACTAAGAAGTCAATATATATAGTACAAATATACAGTACAATATAGTATAACATAGTGGTGTCATGTGCTGCAATACGCTGTCACTGAATGCTGTAAAAGGTTCAGCATCTCTGGGATAAAAGAAAGCAGGAAAACATGAACAAGTATAATGGATAGTGAAAAATAATGTGAGATTTCCATTCTAATCTGTGTACCTAAGTATTATATATTCAGAACAGGTGTTACAGAATTTCTAATAGTAATAACCAAAAAAATGTAACACAGACTTCTCAAAGAGCAAAGTTACAATGAAAAAAGCAAATGTAAAGATATATTTTGAACAGAGTATGGTTATGCAAATCTGTAAATGCAGCTATCCAAGTGGCTAAAGCATGAGGATTGTAAGTCTGTAGCTTATCTGAACAATTTAGCAAAACTCTATCTCAAAGATAAAAAAATAAGGGCAGAGGATGTAGCTTAGTGGTAGTGAGCTTGCCTAGCATGTGCGAAGTCCAAGGTTCAATTTCTAGCACTGCAAAAATACAAAACAAAGCAAAACAAACTGCTTTACAAAAAAATTATTTTATACTATAATTTAGAACATAAATATCTGCATTTCAGAGATAAAAGAAACACATGGGCCCTGGACTCAAAGAGCTTGGATATGATTCCTGGCTCTTTAAGTAGCAGGCTATGAGACCTTTGACAAGTAATCTCTCTATGCCTCATATCTTCTTGGCCTGCAAAACCAGGATAATCAGTTTTATAACTTTATAGGAAATCAAGAAACTTCCCTTAAGGTAAGGGAAAGGATATCAATTGAAAACAAAAGTTGGACAAAAATCCATTAGGTATTTAGCTAATGGTCTATGTGGAGTTTTCTGAGTCTGTTTCGTTTCGGGTAAACGTGCGGGTAGCCAAAAAACAGCCAAGTTTTGGACACTTTCTAAGCTGTGCAATCGTAACTAAGCTAATAATTCAACCTCTGTGTGCCTGAGTTAGTAACACTTCATTGGATTTTGAGAAGTAAATAATAAATACATGACACTATGGTAAGCACTGGTAAGTAACAGCATTATCATTAGCATATGGATTATTGATCACAGTAGAGACACACAGATATGTACACCTCAACTGTGAATCATGATACAAGTAATATATGAATGTCCATTCTAACAATTGAAAGGTTTTCAAGTTTGTAGAACACTGAAAGGAAGATGTTTTTTCCACTTGCCACTACCAACACTGCCTAGCATTATCAGTTCTCTCTCCACCAGTACAAGAACACATGTTCCCATTTAAATATTCATATACATGTCCTACCCCTCCCTTTACTGTGAGTAAGAGCTTAGATTTGGGAAAAGACAAAGGTCACTATATGAAACTAATAAAAACAAGGTTTTTCTTGATAATGAAAGTATTGTATTTCATTTTTAAAAATCACTTAAAATTCGGTAAATAATACAAATTTAAGGCAAACTATGTAAATAACTCAAGAACATACAGTCTGATTTTTAAATGACCAATGAAGTGGTTTTTGGAATCCATTCATTCTTAACTGTGGATTAACTGTGAATGTTTGGAACAGATTCTCAGGGCTCAAAGATAATTTACCAACTTTCTAATACTTGAATCTCACTATTTATTACCAAATGAACAAGAACAGTAACTTAATAAAAATCTTAAAAGATAAAAGAAATTTTGTGCCAATCTTTTATTTTTACAAAAATGCCTTTGCTTTAAAGATATTACTCAGGGTATTTTCCTTGTATTTAAATCTTATCAGCAAATAAAAACTAAGTTACAGGTTATTCAATACTAAAACCATCAAAATGGTACTTAAGCTAAAAAAGCAAACCCATTATGCCTACTAGGCTTCCATTTTCCTACAAATGAGCAGACTTAAAAAATTTAAAGAAAAAGAAAACAGAAATTTAAATTGAAATGGCTGAGATTAGACAAAACTGTAAGATTTTTTAAAAAAAATTTAAATACATTCTACAAAGACCTATGAAAACACAGATTCATTATGACATTAAGAATCTCAAAAGTGAAAAGAAAGTTTTCTTTTTATTAATTTAAAGTTTATGGCCATAGCCCCTGTAGAACCTACTATCTTCATGGATTTCAGATTTTGAACAAGAATAGAAGAGATAACCCAGAGGGAATGCTCTATTTAAAAGAGCCAGGGAGAAGAGACTAGTGAAAGGACAAAAGTTTATCACCAAATAAATCTCACATTTAAAGCAATTAGTAAGAGTGTACATGTGTGTATGTGTGTGTGTAGGTGGGGTATGCCTCAGTAGAAAAAGTCAATATTTACATCTGTTTCTTCATATTTCCGTGGTGGCAGATATAATAATAAAGTATAAATCAAAAGGTTCATTTCAAACATATAAAAGTTTCAATTAAAAAATAAGTATCCCCTCACTGAATACTGTATTACACTCAAGCATTTTTGATTACTAACAGAAACTACCTACTACTAAGAAATTTCATCCACAATATTTTTGTGAACTGAATATCATTATAAATTGTCTCAAATCATTTTTACATAAACACATTTTACCTTGTGCCTCAGTATTTTCTCAGATGCATTATTTTTTGTACGTAGTTTTTCTAAAAAAGAAACATTACTAAATTTTTTACGTATCATACAATGCTAAATCATAAACTGTACCTTAATCTCATCATATAACATACTATAAAGAATAAATAAAATATTTAGTCTTAAATACAGAATATCACTATTGTAACTCTTCACCAAGAACTAAGTGGAATCTCTGTGAGGATGGATTAGTAACTCATTTTTAATTTAAAAAAAGAGGGAGGGTTGTACAAAATATTTGTTACCTCTAGAACAGATTGTGATTTTAATCCAAGGAAAGATTTTAGTTCTCTGTAGAAAAAATAAAAAAGGAAAATTATCCAAATTTTCTCTCAGCCTATCTGCCATCTTATGTTTGTATTTTTGCCCACTAGATGTTTGGTATAAGGGGTCCGGAGATTCTTATTTAAATCAGAATTCACAGAGAAAAGGACATGTGGTAGCCTAAGAAAAGATATTACTGGATCTGGAGTAATCACTGCAGGAGTGTCACTGCAACTAACTAATAAGTATATCAGAAAGGATAAAAGATTCAAAGTAATGGAAATTGTTACACTACATGTTGAGTAGCTAATGGTCTAGTGGGGCTCGGAGCTTATTTATCTCTCAATTTCACTTTGAGCTACCCAGGTTAAAAGCTGATAAGGAAGTGTAACTGGCTTTATGCAAGTCCAATGTGAAGCAAGAAACCAAATTTTCCACTTAGTTCAAGTAAACAAGCACTTGATGAAATTTTATTACACTATTTAAAATGACCTAGGATATTACCAAGAATAATACAGAGTAAAATCCATAAGCTTCAGTCTTCAAATTTAGTTAGAATTAACAGCCAATGAGATAAAATAACACTCAAAAATTGGATGGCAGCTCTTAAGTTGCTGAAAAAATACAGGACATTTAAGATATAGGTTCTATATATTCTTTTCAGTCTACCCAGCACCATTTCATCATCTAACGTACAGTAGTACCACACTATGCTCTACTCTTGTCTCAAGTTTTATTCCCAGTGCCACCCATCCTCCCGGGCCTGGCAGCAGGACGCTTGTCTGCTCCTTGGCTCTGTGCTCCTTGTTGTCTCCTTGGCTTTCTCATTCCTCTTCTCGATTTCCTTCTCCACTCTGAAGCAAAGTGATCTTTCTATGACTCCTATTTTATGCTCATTTGCTTTTTAACAGTTTCTGAGACAGTATCTAAAGTCCCTGTTTGGCACACGAGCCACTTGAAATCTAACCTCTTCATACTTGCCCATTGTCGTCTCCTGTCACTTTCATCTGATTCCTTGCCCATCTGTGAAACCACCCACATTTTAGCCATCTGCAGAACACAACATACCTCAGTGCCTTTGTACTTTGGTCCGTCTTGTAAATTCCTACTGTCTCAGATTAAATACTGCTTGCTCTATGATACCGACAGTCCTTTACCTACAGTCCTCTGCATTTGTCTTAGTAAGGTCATCATTATTACAACATGTTTGTTTTCTGTACGTGTTCATTAAGCTCTAAAATTTTGGAGGACAAAGAATTTCAAGTCATATTTATTATGAAAGTGTCAAGCAGCTTAGAGACAATACATATTTGACTCCTGAATAATAAGAACAAAACGATTACCCTTCTTAAACACTTCTGGGCAATATCTCAAGTGGTTTCCTATCCCATTTACTCATCATAATCCTCCATGAGCAGCACATTAGCATAGTCTTACTTAGAAAAGAAAAAGCAGACAGGCTAAATCCTGGATTAAAGTCTTGGATGAAAAAAATTCAGGCAGTCTGAAATAACTTAGTTCATGTTTTTAAGTGTTTGATGTATATAAAAGGGAGACAGAGAGAGGTGTACTAATGTAACAGAGATAAGAAAGTACTAGTAAAAAGGCAAGCACCACCAACAGGGTAAGAACAAGAAGAGAAGTATAATGTAATATTAAAATACATTTTGAAATGAAACAAGACATGAGTCTACAATGTGACCTACTGATTCCATAACCAGACTTCATCTGGTGAAAGTCATCACACCTTAATCTTGAACGTCTTCTGCACTTGTGTGGGTAAAACTCTAGTTTCCTGGGACACGAAATGAAGTTCTCTCAAAAGTGTCTTGTGATAAAATCTGAAGGAATGCTAGGTTAAGCAAAAGTCATTTTTGTGCATATGTGTGTGTGTGTATATGTTTTAAGAAACTATGACAGCAACAGATCTACCACTGAGCTACACTCTAGCCCTTAGTTTTCTCAGTGTTACTGGGACCCAGAGTTTATCTCCTTCATAAAGCATCTTACAGCCCTAACTTGATGGGAAAACCTGAAATGTACGCGCTGGACCTGTAATGTATGCTGTGAACTCACTCCTGTTTAATCATCTCCAAGTCAAATGAGATCAAGTAAGGCAGAATACAAGAAGCATGTAGTAAGGTACAAAGTCTAAGACACAGTCCAGATAGAAAGATGAAATGTTTTCAGTTATCTCAATCCCAAAAAAGCTGCTCTCGCCTCTCTATATAACTTCATATCATTTGTTAGTATCTCTAACACAGTAATAATTAGCCTGTTTACCAAGTTATTTGCACATATAAGCTCTTTTAGTTGGCTAACCTACAAGAGAAGTTACAGCAAAATATTATCATTATAATGCTTTAGTGTACACTGTAGCATATTTTGATAATAACTAATTATTAAAAACTTCTAAAACCAATTTCTACCTATAACAAAAGTAACTCAACAATACCACATATTATGAACATGAACTAAACTGTGTAACTAATTTTACATTCTATCACTGTATTGGTTAAAATATATTTCACAGTTCCCTAATTTGAATTTACATGTAAAATGCTTAACTACTGCAATTAAAAGTATACATTAGAATAGCTCGCATCTCAAAGCACTGAAAAAAATCTTCAAGTTATACAACACATTTCTTAGGCTCTTCTAAATGCGGGTTTAAGTTGATTTATTCACTATTAAATAATCAGTACTACTAATTAGGACACTTCCTAAATTATATCTATAGTAAAGTTATATTCAGCAAAATTTTATTCTTCACTACACCTTAGTTTAAAACATCTCAATTCTAAAAAGTGTTGGATACTAGAAGTCACTACTTATAACATGCATATTATAGTGCATAAAGAGGAAATAGCATACAAATTATTAAATGCGATATAACCAAAGGCTTGAAAGCAGTACTTATCTCTGAAATTAAATCAGTATATAAACTAAACCTGTACATAACTATTAATACTATCGAGTCGTTCACACCAAATACATGAACTAATGGGCTGTCAGCTGTTAGGTTACAATGAAGAAAAGTTAACCATAATCTATTCAATTCCCGAGTCACAACAAATGTAAAAGAACTTGATAAACTGTGTAGTAAAAAACTGAATTACACTCTCTCCTTAAGCACCCTTTTTAAGTTACTTTCAAAGTTTAGTTTAAATTATCATCTGTAAGACATTCATGAAAGGTAAATCATTAGCGGCAGAAAGCAAAACTTTCTTTTCTTACCTATTCGGTCAAATGTTTTATCACATTTAGGACACTGCAATATTTTTTTGTTACTGTTTTGAATGACTACTGGAGTTAACCCTTCATGAATATTTCCTACAGAATCACCAGCTTCAGGTTCTTCTTCTGCATCATTATCTTTTTCACTTTGTTCTTCAATGTCAGAATATTCATCCGACATTTCCTCTTCTAGCTCATCTTCTTCGGCATTATATTCACTTCCAGGATCCTCAGAATCATTTCTATCCGATTTTTCCTTATCAAAACTTTCTTGATTCAAATTGTCTGACCCATCACCACTTTCTTGTTCATCATCACTGGTGTCATCGAACTTAACAGGGCACTTCCGATTCCTTTTTGATCTTCTTGCTGAAAAACTTCTCTCCAGCATTTTTAACCCATGTTTTTTCCCTAATAAAAGGGGCCTATGAGTTTTAGCCAAATGATTCTCTAAAGACTTTTTATAACAAAAATGTCTGCTACAGAATTTACACTGATGATTATTTGATAGTCTTCCAGTTAATTCATTTAGTGTTTCTTCTGGTGATGACTTTTCAGTTAGCTCTGACTGAAAAGTGGCCACATTTTCATTATTTAGTAGCTTTACTGCATCTATAATGTCCAAAAATTTTGCAGCCTCTAAAACGAGAGGTATCTCATATTTGTACACAAAAAATTCTGATGTGTAAAGAAATTCAAGCAAATGCTGAAAAACTGAATGTGTTACGTGATCCAGGGTGACAACATCAGTGCTTGGATTTTTACTTAAACATGCATGAAAATAGCTACTGCCAACAGCAACGACTACTTTATGTGCACTAAATTCTTTTCCTTCTACTACGATAAGTAAGTCACAGAATGATGGTTGCTTCTGCCTATCATCATTTAAATACTTTAGCAAATTCTTATTATATTGCAAAGAACTCAAAAGTTTCCTCTGATCTGGAGAGGGAGGAAGTTCCTGGTAACAGTGGAGAGCTTCAGCAGTTGGTCTTTCTGAAGAAAGAGTACAGGTCACTTGGTCACACTCCACTGCAACATTTCCTCCTGAAGAATCTTTACGGTAGCCTAGATGGATCTTCTCGTCAAGATTTGAAGTAACCTTTCTCCTTTTCTTCATTGCAATACAGCAATTTCAGAACAAGAAACTTCATAAGGATTTCTGAGATTTATAAAGGAAAACTAGATTGTCTTGGACAACAGCTTCTGGAGGGGCGTGTCCGAGGGTTTCATGGTCTGCAAAAAGTGGAAGAGTCATGTAAATTAACTCTCAAAGCAATTGTAAATCAGTCAAGTAATCTGGCAACTCATCTATTCTAAATTATAACTATATTATGACAAAGCCACAATATTCATTCGTGGTTAAGATTTTAGGGTGGAGAACTAGAAGGGCCGAGTTAGAAGAGACAGTCAACAAAAGAATAATTTTAATGGAAGACAGAGCACACCTCGAAGGCGTTTTTACGAATTAAGTGGAGTAACTGAGCAGAAACGGGTGGAATTCCTCCAAGATCACTTGACAGTGCAGGTTGAGGGGGGCTGCGGTCGTGGTTTAGGGGTGTAGGATTGTGACAATAAAGCCATAGCGGCCGCAAATCCGAGTCTTTTCGTTAACGTGTTTTCCTGCGGCAGACAAGGCAGTTTCTGAGACAGGGAGAGCGTCCTTGTCCCCAAAACCTCCCGGCTGAAGACGTCAAAAGAGGGGCGCAGATCTCGAGGCACGGGGTCAACCAAAGGGACGAGTAAAGGAAGCAAATGAGCCTTCCCAGGCCCTGGCTGGGCGGAGAGTGCGCTCGCCGAGGAGAAACCCGCTACCCTTCCCACCCAGTTTCCCTGGGCAAACGCCCCACAGATTCATTACCGGGAACCCATGGCTCCCCCGCTGGCTCCCTGCCGCTGAGCTCCACTCTGGGCGCGCTCTCTCCAGCGCCGACCCACTTCCGGGTTCAGCCCCCCACCTCACCCCCCGCCCGCCGCTCCTTCCCCTCCCAGAGTCTAACAACCACGGCACCACGGAACACGTCAACCGAGCGCGCAGCCTCCAAGCGGCCCAGAGAGACCAGCGCGCGCCTCCCACGCCGCCGATGCGCAGGCGCGCGCACTGTTCTTTGCGCATGCGCTCTGTAGAGTCTACGTGCTCCCCCGGGAAACTGAAGTCCGTTTCTCCGGGTTTTCCCAGAAGCTGGGTGTCTTATAATGAGTGCCTGGGAGAATCCTGGCTGCGGGAGGGAAAAGGGAGGGGAAGATTGATGTGCAGTTCGGGAGAAATCGGTAGAGGCTCAGTATCGCGACCGGATTTCATTCTCACTGGTTTATTTAATAATTTGAAATCAACCAAATCCTAACCGCCGGAAGCCGGTCCCGGCGTACACAGTGGCAAATACCTAACCAAACGATGTTGAAGTTGCCTCATTTTTCTGATGAAAACGGCAAGCTGTACATACAGTTGCTGCTAAAATTATTTTTTTAAATCAACTTTCTATCGCACACAGCTTAGAAAAGATACAGATGGTAGAAAAGTATGCCTAAAAAAACAAAAACATCCAAATGACAACTTTTGGAGCTAACTAATGGTGTTGCGCATTTCTAAGAGCCTCAGGTAGACACATATTGCTGATCTGAGGACCACAGTTTAAGCAGAAAAGTCCTAGGTTCTATGATTTGGTGCATAAGGAAAATAACAAATGAAATGAGTGGCCCCTCCTCTCTCACAAAAGGCCACTCTCTCAGTGATATTGGGTGATTTTCTTGTAGATAGGAAGATTTTGAGAGTGTACATAAAATTTGTTCATACACAGTGTGCTGTAGGTATGGTTTAGCTGTGACTAACAAGCAAATCGGCAGATCTCCTTTTATTGAGAGAGGGGAGGGACAACGAGGGGTAGGGGAGGGGAAGGGAGGGGAGGGGAGGGGAGGGGAGGAGAGGAGAAGTGGGGATAGGAGACTTGCTAAATTGCCCAGGCTGCTTTTGAATTTGCCACTTGAGATTATCCTCTAGAAGCATGATGGAGCTCATTCTGTCAGTAACCTCAAGAGCAAAACCTTGTAGTTGCCAAGAAACACTTCGCCTTAAGACTTCAACAAAACCCCCTAAATTTTCAGGCTTGCCTCACAGCATTTGGACTCCCAACTGCAACCTGAAGTCTTACCTGAATTTTTAGCATGTAGGCCTATTGTATGGATTTTGGACTTGCTACCCCTTAGAATCACGTGAGCCGATTCCTCCGCCTCCATTCTGTCTCTCAATCATATAGCACTAAAGTTGAGAACATATCTCTAAGGTGCCTATTTTGGCAAAGAATATAAGGGGAGCAAAACCCCACAAAACTGAGAACGTGAATAGAAGCCTAAGAAATAGAATCTTCAGACATTTCTTTGCAGTGTCTTTCTTTTGATATCAGCCATAGTCATAACATCCTTTAGCAAGCTGTTTCACAAATTTATTTATAAAAGTATAAATTCTTGTCATTTATCAACCGCACATCTTTGTTCCAGGAATGTGAAACTGTAAATATTTTTCAATAGTATCACAGATATAAAGTAGGAATGAATCTAACAAGTTATTTTCAACTTTTATACATGAGTCTCTTCAACATGACTATTTTCTGTCAAGGGCCAGATATATATTTTTTCCTCCATCTCATTTTTTTCTGTATTTTATAAACAATGCTTTAAAAATGTAAAAATATTCTTATAAGCCATAAAAAAACAAGCCATTGGTGAAATCTGGTACATCATCATGGTTCTCTGGCCTCCTTTAAAACACATTTCAGAGAGATTAAAAACTTAAATAATTGAAAACAATAATAAGCTGCATTAGTCCCTTTGGGCTGCTATAACAAAATACTATGGAATGAACAAACAATAGAAATTAATTTCTCATAGTTATTGGAAAGTCTAAAATCATGCTGCTGGCATTCAGTGTCTGGTAAAGCTTTTTTGCTGTATGCTCATAGGGCAAAAGGAAAGGCAAGTGTCTCCATGTAGTAGACAACAGTACACCAGCAATGAAAGGAGTATTGAACTATTCTCTCCAGCTATTTATTTTGATTGGTTGATTGATTGATTGTATTGGGGACAATTAATCTTTACCACTAAACTACCTTACTGAGTTCCTTTTATTGAGAGAGGGGAGGGACAACCAGGGGGAGGGGAGGGGAGGGGAGGGAAAGGGAGGAGAAGGGGGAATAGGAGACTTGCTAAATTGCCCAGGCTGCTTTTGAATTTGCCCCTGCCCTCCATCAGCCTCTTAGCCAGCTGGAATTGCAGGTGTGAGCCATCACATGGGTCCCTCCAGCTCATTTCTTCATTCACTTACGATGGCAGATGCTCCTACTGATCACTTCTCAAGTGGACTCACCTCTTAATGCCCCTGGAATGGAGGTTTGGTTTGAACATGTGAATTCTTTTTTGAGGGAAGATGACATTTGGACCATAACATATACCATATGTATAAATTAGAATAAACAGTATTGTGAGGCTGTCTTCAAATTAAATGTACAGATTTTAAAACATCAATACATTGGACTTTATCAATATTACACCCCCCCCAAAAAAAAGTTGTTATTAAAAAAAAAAGAGAAACTATGGAATTGGAGACGACATTTGACAAATACGTATTTGCCAAATATGTATTTGGCAAAAACTTGAAGAATATAAAAAAAAACTAATGAGATGAAATATATATGTACTAAAGTGAGCAGAGTATTTGAAGAGATGCTTCTTGCAAAAGGATAAACACATGGAAAAAATCTCATTTTGAATTTGTATCTTTATAATAGAGATGTAAATTAGCCAAAACTAGGTACCTGTATAAGAATACCCAAATTGTTGATGACGGTGGGGATCCACTGAAACATCTCCTCACACACTTCCTGTGGAACTATATACATGGCACAAGGATCTTGGAAAATGAGTAATACCAAAAACTTCCTACTTATGTGCACTATACATGAAAATCATTCTCTCTCCATCAACAGAAATTCATAGTTATTTTGTTTGTAGTAGCCAAAATCTGAAAACAACCAAAATGTCCCCAGACAGTTGACTTGGGTCTCAAATGACCCAAATGTCCCAAAACAGATACCATAGTCACAAAATAGAATTGTGTTACTAAATAACAAAAACAAATTAATGATAAAGGTAACAAACTAAATGGGTCTCAAAGCAACTATGCCATGTAAAAGACAAGATTCATATATTTTTACTTGTTCAAAATTCTAGAAACTGTAAATTACAGTAAGAGAATCATAATCAATTTGTTGTGTTATGACAGTTGCCGGGGAGGCAGGGAAAAGAGATTACAAAAAGGTAAAAGGTAACTTTTGTTTCTTATTTTGGTTATAGTGCTGGCTTCACCAAAGTATATGTATGTCATAATTTATCATACACTTTAAATGCATGTACAGTGTTCTATAAGAAACCTAAGCCATTAAAAAAGATTCAACAACAAGGGCATTCCATGAAACACAGGAGAAAAATACAAAATTCTAAAATGGGCCCAAATTCACAGCCAAATTTACTTTACAAAAAGATAAAAATTTCCGTTCATGACAGGAACAAAGTTTCTAGTTAATAAGAATGAAGAATGAAATGAGTATCAGAAATAAAAATAAGTTTTATATAAACTATAGATTACTTTCAGGTGATTAAAGATTTCAATGTAAAAATTGAAGCCATAAAAGTATTATTTTAAACATTCTTTTTTGGCCCAGCTTTTTTGAGACAGGGTCTCACTACATATTTCAGGCTGCCCTTGAATTCACTATGTAGTCCAAGCTGGCCTCAAACTCACAGCAATCCTCCTGCCTCGGCCTCAGGAAGTATTGGGACTACAAACATGCAGCATCACACCTGGCAAAATAGACTCCAAATAGATTAAAATGAGAAATATCTCTCCATAAATCCAAATTCAGAAACAGTGAAAGGGCAATTGTTAAATCATCATATTGATTTTTTAAAAGATTGCATGGAAAAGCAATGATATATTAAGATTTAACCCTTGGACTAGGTATGGTGGCACACTTCTATAATCTCCACACTGTAGGAATCTGAGCAAGAGGATCACAAGTTTGAGCCTAACCTGGGCAATTTAATAACTTAGTGAGACCCTGCTTAAAATAAAATTCTGAAATAGGGCTGGGAGTATAGCTTACTGGGAAGGCTCTGGGTTTAATCCTCAGTACCACAAAAAATAAAAATAAATGTTTTTACTTTGATCTTTGGCTGTAGTCTTCCTGTGATACCTCAATTTATTTTTAGGAGCAAAAGAGAAAAATGGCAGTGTTATTATGTTTTGGGCCAACTAACTTTTCTAAATAAGTTGGTAGTGAAAATATTCAGTTCACTGAAAAATAGGAGCTAACGAACCTCTAAGAAGTTAGCAATTGTCAAAGTCTAAAAATTGAAAGGATGTCAAAGTTATGACATTCTGTAACTTTGTCCATCTAATCATACATGGTTTATATTAATGACACACATCAATAAATAACTGGGTCTCAGTTTAATCCACTGGAACATATATCAGCTTTTATAGGTAGAACATTTATTTTGATTTAAACTTAAGCATCCTTAAATTATCTGTCAATTTTGGCTTCATCAGATAAAATAAGAGCTGGAATTATCTTTAAGTTTTCTATACTTGAGAGCATGCTTCCCTACTCCAAGGCCCTCATAAATATTCTTTCCTTAGAAAAATTATTTCCTTCCTCCAGTATGTTCTATCTCTTTAATAGTGTAATCCCATTAATCTATATGATTCAGATAGTTTCAGATTAGATGTTATTTCCTGGAAGAAATTTGCTCTCCTATACAGATTAATGTCTACATTTTCTCTTAGAACACTACAGCAACTGTATTATGTGGTTGATTGCCCAGCTCACCCATATTACTCCCAGTATTTTCTTAAGAATTAGTAAAATGATTAGATTCTGGCAATAAATTAGTCAATACTTTTGAGTAAATAAATTAGTTGAAAGTTCTCAAATATATG